GACATGATAACTGTGTCCTCCTACAGAGGCTGATTTTTCTCTAGTTACATGCACACAGCTTCCACTCTAATACATTTTAGTTCAACTGAATGCCCCTTTTAATAATCTTACTTTATTTACGTTCACAAAATAGTGAAATTATCTTTTCAATACTGTTGAGTTACTGTAAACTTACTGTCATAAAAATGTTTATGAAATACTGAAAAATAACTTTATCGTAAATGAAGGAAAAAGAACCTGTGTGAAGAAGTAGTAAGAAATACAGGTGATTATTTATCAAATGTAATGATGGCTAAGAGCTACATTGAGGAGAAAAAAAATGATTTGGATGCAGCTATGAAGATAGCAAGAGAATTAAAATCGGCACCTTCTCTAAGGACATACTGTGACCTGAATCAGGTAGTTTTAATATTTCATGTGAATTATTTCTGTGGTAGCTTATTTTACCTACTTTGGAATATGATATTTAAAACCTAAGAAAAATTTGTTTTTCAGATTATCCTAACTTGTAATGGCATCAGTTTAGAATTCTTAGGTGTTTGAATTCTAAGACAAACATTAATAAATGTGTTTGGACTTTTGTTATATTATTTATCACTCAGGGAAATGATGTAACACGATTCAAGAACAAGTAGGGTGACCCTCAATCTAGAGTTGTTTCTAGGTCACTAGAATAGAAAATGAGGACAAGTAAGAGTAGCAAATTAAATAGGACTCTATTTTCCTTTTATAAGCAGTTAGGTATGATTGTCAGCTCTTGGCTTAAAAACTTACCAAGATCCCATTCAGGTTTTTCTCTCAGCCTGCCACCCCAAGATGTGCAGGTCAAGAGACAGGATGCTTCACTCTATCCTGTCCTCTAGTGATGTGCCTGGAGTTGTGCAGAGAGAGAAATATGTTTCTTATGCGCTCGTTGGCAGGACAAGGTTAACCATCAGTCCTCTTTGCTAATTTCTGTCTTGCTCCCTTGGGGTATAGATCCTACTCTATTGTCTTTGAATCCTCAGGGCCTCATTACCCATAGATAATGAGATGTTTGGACTGAACTGAGGTACAAAATAGAAGCCATTGGTTTACCTGCCTCTAAAGTCTTGAACTGCAAATTAAAGGAGAAGAGTTTACCACCATCTCACTTGGCCAGGCCTCCCTCCAGCTATAGTTCTAAAAACAGTAATCGTCAATTCCTGTGTATTACATGTGAGGCATTAGGAAGTTAAAAAAGTAGTAAAATTTGGTCTTTATCCTAGTTAGTCTAGTTAAGAAGATGGGGGAAAAAAGAAAAACATGAGGATAGCAATGCAGATGCAAAATAAATCTGATCAGAAATGCCTCTGGAACTGTGTAGCTATATTCCATTTATTAACTAGTGTCCTGTGTTGTTGCTGTCTGTTAATACGTATCTCCAAGAGATTTTAAATTTTGGAGTTGGGGGAGTCACAGACACTTACATGCATCCCTCATTTTACTTGCCTAAGATCAAACTGTAAGCATGTTACTTAGTGAAATACCTAAAGGGTATAGTTTTGCTTCTCAAATCTCATTCTGTTTCAACAGTATTTATAACAAAATAAAATGCACACATAAGTGATACTTCTCTTTTGATTCTAGATTATTCAGACTTTGAAGCTAACATTTGAGAGTGAATTGTCACAGGTTAGCTCTCTAAAACTAAGGAACTCTCCCAAGTAAGTTATAATTCAGGAGAACATCATAATTAAGTATAAAGATGTATTAGAGCCTAAATTTATTAAAATAGCAAGCAATTATTGATTGATAATTCAGTTCAAAAATGTTTCCCAAGTTAGCAACTAAATTAAAATAAGTAATTTATGATAAATTACAAAGTTATTAAATGTTCTGTATTTTGGAGTTTTTAATGTCAGCAACTAATTTTTATTAGAGAAAGTAGTAAACTTATATTAGAACATTTTTTTATGTGAAGTATTTAATTGTAGGTTGAACATGAATTGCGGTGAGATCATCTGTATGTTCAACACTATGGGAAAGATTGAATTTGAAGACTCAACAAAGTAAGTATTTAAAAGAATAGCAACATGCCATTAGTGTCTGACATGGCCTAAGGGACAGAAATATTATCTAAGGGACAGAAAAATTGATGTTTAGTGTCGTACTTGTGAGTCAAAAGCTGAAAAACAATGTAAAGGGCAGCGTGGTTTCTATCATTTAAATTCTGTGTAAGATATTTAAGAATTAAAAGAC